TGTACGAAAATGCGAACTTGTTTCAGTTGGTGTTGGAATTGATCTTTAAAACGGGGTTCCGCACGAAGGAGGCCTTGAAAAATATGGACAGCGTCTTCCTGGTGCTCAACACGGACGAGGACAGGAGAATAGCGACGATGCGGCGGGACATCGTCACTCTCACGAACGGCTTTCACACGTTCGAATCCTGGGGGCAGTCGGACTCCTTTTCCCAGCACGATTCCGAGAAGGCGAAAAACATGAACGCGATTTGCCGCCGCTTGCGGCACAACTGCTCGGTCGGCGGCCAGGACACGGGCGACACGAGTGTGCCGGACGAAACGGCGCAGCGGAACCTACTGGACCTCGGTCTGATGCGCGCGATTTCCGCCGCGATAAGCATCCCGATCACGGAGTTTCAAGGCGAGGGTTTGAACGTGTTGAAAGAGATGATGAAGGAGGTCACGGGGCTCCTGACCATGTTTGTCTACGACAACAAGCGAAACCAGCATGCGGCTTTCGAGCACCTCCCCACACTGCGCATATCAAATGCAAAAATGTGTGGGTCTGGAAACTTGTGATGCTGGGTGGCGTATCATGAGGAGGCCACAAGTGCTGGCTCAGCATGGCAAATTTTTGAGCTTCCAGGTGTTGCCTATTCTGCATGAAAGGGACACGCCGTTGGGTCGTCCGCCATCGTGATAGGATCGCCGTGTCTGATCATTCGACCCCCTGTATGCTTTTTAGCGCGCAACCGGTCACAGAAGTAAGTCTTAGAGCAAGTTTGTAAGACTAACCCATCAAGGCAATACTGGAGCTCCACCGTGCTCGCGGGCTTGGATGGTAAGGCAGGTCAGCCACACATAGCGCCCACTGGCTGTAGCCATGCGTAAGCAATCGATAGCAGTTTTGCAGGTGCAGCCGGGTGGTAGTTAGGAAGTGGGCCGGGTCCCCACGACCTAGGGGCATCGGCAGAGGCTAAATGTGTTCTAGCGCCCAGGTATTGGCAGAGGCTAAATCTGTTCTAACGCCAACCCGCCAGGAGTTAAATGGTACTACTACTACTACTGCATGACAGAAAAATGGTGCTCTTGGGTAACGTGCATGACTACAGATTCGAGAGTCATGCCAGACAAGCATGACAAACATGCATTCTCCCAGACCCAGACATTTTTGCAGTTGATAGCGCACCTGGTTTAACTACGGCGTCGGCATGGCAAACCCCATCGCAAGTATTTTCCGCAACAACCGGGAGCTGTGCGAGAAGGTCCCCGTGGCTCTGATCTACGACTTCGCTTTCGCGCTGCAGGCCCGGTCCCGCGGCTTCTTGCCGCACCAGCTGGCGTTTTTCCACTCGATCCTGGTGGTGGGGGACCGAAAAATCAACCGAAACGCGGATATTCTAGCGGAAATCCTGTCGAAGCCAAGGTTTGATAAGGTTCTCCACTGCTTGTTCGACTCCGACGGGCGGAAGAAACGCCGGAGCATGCTGCGGAAGTTTGCGAGTTTGGAGGAATTGTCGAAGCCCGAGCCGTATGAATTGCAAAAGTATCGTACTCGTATAAACGCATTACAAATTTCCTCAGCATGTTGATAAATAAAATTTGTAAAAATGCGGATATACCTAAGGAAAAAGATTTGTAATGCATGGGCGCAATTACTACGAGTACGAGACTTTTGCACAGGATAAGCCGTTCCGAAAGTGGAACGGCGACGACGCCGAGCTTGTCTACTCCGTGAAGTCGGTCGAGCTTCTCAGCTTGATTTGCCTCGGCCAGGGTGACGGCGGACGGTCCAGCTTCGTGGTGAACATGATTTCGCCAGACTCACTGACGGTCCAGTACATGGAAGTCCATGAGACCGTCTACATTACCACCGAGCCGGTCGGCGGCCAGCCCTCGATCTCCAAGGCCGCACAGGAGATGGCCCGGGTGTTACAGGGCGCGATGCTGGACCTGATGTCCAACTGCTACTACGAGACGGAAGTAAGGGACGACCGGTTCTGGAATTCGGATATTCACTTGTATCTACTCGAACTGCTCACCACGGAAATTGACAAAATCTTCAACGTATCAACTGCAACTATGTCTGGGGCTGGGAGATTGCGAGACTTGTCATGCTAGTCTGGCATGACTCTGAGCTCTCTATTACGTGGCCGCGAAGAGCTCCGCTTGCCCGTCATGCAAAAACGCAGTCTCTCGTGCGGAGTACGCAACTCAGAACCACAGCAAAACTTGTCATGCTGGGCAGCGCATTACAGTGCTTTCACTGTACAACTCCCTTCCCTGCAACACAGGTTTCCAGACCCAGACATGTTTGCATTTGATACAACGTGAGTGCAAAGAACCGCCCGGTCACGGACAGCGAGGAGATTTTCGTCCACAGGGTGCTCCGCGCGCTAAACAACTACGTGCAGTGGGCGATGAGCATCACGGAGAAGCACGGCACCACGCACAAGGGCATCCTGGATTTGTGCTATCCTGAGTAAAAACGTCCCCACACCAGAGTTGTCATGCAGATTTGCAATGACAGGAACATTTGTAATGCGCATCGCCAGGAGAGGCATTTTTAGTCGTGTTTTGGAATTTGTAATGTTGTAAACAGGATGAGCAGATGGATTTCTGATGCAGCTGGCCATGCGAACCTGCACTAAACTACGGACTGCAACTTGTGACGCGTGACCCTCAAAAGTTCTAGGTTTGTGTTGCAAAATCCCCATCTTGACTAGGTTTGTGTTGCAAAATCCGCCGCATTTTTTTAAAAAATTGCCGGTTGCAGCGGCATCTAACTCGAAGTTTGACAAAGCACTTTATAAGAAAAAGCACTTCGTAAAGAAAAGCACTTCGTAAAGAAAAGCACTTCGTAAAACAAAACGTAGTCATGTAAAGCAGCACGGCAGATACTTCAACATACTAGCAGTGTGCGGGGGGGGCCAATGTGGTCCCCCCCACGCGCTGCGCCTATAAATAAAACACGCCAGGGAATTTTCTTTTTTTTCCAGCAGAGGCTGGCTGTGGGACTTGGGGCAATGCCGGGGATTAGAAATGCAAATATGATGGCAGTGCGTTTCTACTCTTAAGTATCCTGCTTCAAACATGTTTTATTTTTTTTTGGCCTTTTGTCACGCTCTTTGTCATTGTCTTTGGATTAGTACCGCGTCACACAATTGCACAAGTATTTAGAAAACATCATGGAAAATGGCACGCGGAGTCGGAAACATTGAAAACGACGCCGAGCTCGACGGAGCCGCATGAAGGGCGGCGGGGGGTTGGAAGATCTGCGCGCGTTGTCGGGGCCACAGAAAGAGGAAGACCAGGCCGCGGGGCATACGCACGCGGGGGAGGAGGGGGAAAACGGAGGCGAAACGAGAACAAGGGGCGCAGTACGAAAACGGATCGAGAACCAACATGCTGGAGCAGGGGACAAGAGCGGAAAAGTAAGAAATCGGGAAAAAAAAGCCGTATACCTGCGCAATTCCTTACATGTGAATAACATGGTGGGCGGGAGGGGTTCTTCACATTTTTGGAAACGCCCACCGCCCCGACTAGAATAACTGAATGATGAAAAAATTGGGGGCAGGGCAAAAAAAAAATCCCCATCTTGACTCTGGTGTGGGGATGTTTTTACTCAGGATTTGTGCAGGGGCCGGATGAGCGGGCTGCTGAAGCAGATTCAGAACCGGGAGTTGCCCATCAGCAAGGACGTGTTTCTGATCGAGAACAAGCGGCTAATCGCCTGGATCGAGGGTTCCGACGCGAAAGACCAACTTCGCATTCCGTCCGGGGTCATCACCGGCACGGCGAACAAGGGCCAGCAGGGCAACAGGAAGTCCTCCAGCTCCTCCTCCTCCGACAGTCATCATGGCGACCTGAAGCACAGTCGCGGGCGGTACACGCGGTTTCTGTCGCAGTTGAAGCACTCGCCACTGGTGAAGCACGAACTGCAGCGGGAATCGGACCTCTTGATCGCGAAGATGATTTCCATCGACCAGTACACCGATCCGACCAACGCGCAGTTTCAGTCGGCGAAAAAGCTGTCCATGGCCACGGGGCAGCCGATCGGGTGCGACTACCGCCGGATCAAGATCAAACTCGAAGATTTGGTCGACCGCATGGTGCGCCACTGCATGCAGATCATGGGCGAGATTAGTGGCATGCCGACGATCTTGCGAGTGTACGAGCTGCTAAATTTGATCATCGACTACTGTGATATTAGTTCGGGCAGTACTACTACGAACGCCATGTACACCCTGGTCGAGTGTCAAACCATTTTCACGAAAGCCGGCGTGGTGCGGCTGATCATCGAGACCTTGATGCTCAAGCCGGACGCACACATCACGCAGAAAGCGCTTTCCTTATGGCGTTCTCAAACGTTACATTCTCGACTTGTACATGAAATCTGTCATGCAAGAATGGCAAGAGTGAAAGGGAAAAGATCGGCCCTTTTGCATTACAGGTTTGGAGCAGATTATAATGGTATCTAGCGCGTCGAGAAGTTGTCATGCGGAGAAGGCTTGATCGTGTGCAGAGCGATAGTATTTTTGCATGACAAATCATGTAACAGTTGAGAATGTAACATTTGAGAACGCCATACTCCTTGGGGATTTCCATGCTGCGGCCGAACAACGAAACCGTGCAGCAGGCCTTCACCTATCACAGGAAAAAAGTGTATACAGTTACACATTTGTTGGAGTTTCTGCATCACAGAGTGGCTCGTCATGGCAAAGAAAACCTGTAATGTGCAGACTATAAGGGAAAACACGAATGAAATGAGATAGGCAAGCATGTCCTGCATGACAGAGGTTGTCTGTCTTGCTTGTCTCCCATTGGAGTGTGTAACTGTAACACTTTTTTCCCACGATATCACCGAGGTGTTCTACAGTACGGACGATTCCGGACTCTGGTCGGTCTTCTGCACGATTTACGACCAAATTCTGAACAACTTGAAACCCGTCCGGACGCTGAAGAAGGTGCAGCGGAAGTACGAGCAGAAGCGGGCCCAGGTTCGCAAGGAGCGGCCGGACTTGGCCGCGCAATTGGACGAGGTGTCTGACTCGGCCTTGACCAGCGAAGAGCAAGAGTATTTGCAAATCTGGTCCGATATCCTACCGAAAAAAGCATAATGAAACCATGTTGATTTCTTGATGTGAAGATGCAAATCGAAGTCGACTCATGCTGAAAATTTACCACGTGCAGCATGCCATGTGTGTGCGCTCCCGCCTCATGGCAAACCCGCTTCCTGTGTCGTGCAACTACGATCTATATTTTCGCATGACTTTCACATCAAGTCGAAGTTGTCTTCTGCGCCGTTTTTCGGTGTGATCTCTGAGCAGGTCGAGAGCTGCTGCAAGTGCATTGAGTTCCAGCAGAAACTGTCCGAGGGGCACAACCTAACCATGCAGAACTACACCTACAACCAGCACGACAACTCGGCTATTACAATGAAAAATGCCCCCACCCCCGAACTTGGGAGCATTTGTATTGCAAACCTTTCCAAATGAAACATTCGCCCTCTTGCATCTATCAGCATCACAGATCTCCAATCGTGAATAGCAAAAATTTGTATTGCAAAATACCCCAGCAAGAGCGGCGCTTGTCGTGCAAGCGATGCGATAGATACACACCTAGGCTCTGCATCAGAAAGATTCATACTCCTTTCATGCATGACAAAAAGTTTTCATTTGGAAACTTCGCATCACAAATTTTTGCAATTTCAGGGTTGGGGGGCACTTTTCGCTGTAATATCGGCGTCAGTGAATTTTGTGGAAAAAACTGTGGACTTATTTGTGAAATTGACCAAGTCCCGGGAAATTGTGGACGACCTAGACGAAGAAGAGCTAATATGCATTGCGAACACCAATTATATCCCTGGATGTCTGGAAGGTTGCAACTTGTCATGCTAAGTCTTGGATGATCATGCAAAAGTCTGTGTTGCATGATTACCAAAAGTTGTTCACTTTTGACCAGGTTAAGAGGCAGTTTCTCATGCAGGATAGGCCTGATAGAGATCTCACTCTCACAGCATTGGTCATGTTAGGCGCTGGCGCATTCCAGCCCTCATGGGTCATGGAAAACTGGCATCATAACTCGTGCATTCTTCCAAACTACCCGCCAGACATATTTTTTGCATTTGATAGCTAGCGCTCGCCTGCAACAGCCTGGATCTGATCATCGAAGTCTTGCAAGGGCCGTGCGCGAGGAACCAGGTGTACGTGTCTGTGTCCGGGCTGGTGGAGCAAATCAACAAAATTCTCCGCTGGCCCTTCGCGAACATCGTCGATTTGAACGACGTATGATCCTGTGCAAAAGTATCGTACTCGTACTGTAATTGCAGTAGTTATGCAGGACAAATCTCTTACTCTTTCTCGAGGCAAATCGGCATTACATAATGCTGAGGTAATTTCATATTCATTTGTATTGCAATTTACGCTAGTCGCGCGATACTCTTGTATCAATGCATACGACGGCGATCAGTACCCGGACAGCGTGCGCGAGCTGAAGTACAAGTGCTGTCTCTGTTTGAACTGTCTGCTGGAACTTCGTCCGGACACAGAAGTTATCCACTGGAAGAACCATGTCTGGGTCTGGAAACTCGTACTGCTGGGTTTGGAATATTAGTGTATCATGCTCTCTAGTAAAAATGCACAGCCAAGCATGTTGAGAAATATCATCTGCGCTGCTTTTTAGTGTTGCGTTTTCCGCGTGACGGACTGCGTTTTTGCGTGGCAGTACATACATAGATACAAAAGGGTCTGCTCGTCTTCTTGGACACGCATTGTCACAAAGAACAACTCTTCAGTCATGGCAAAAGACAAGCCTGAAGACCACAAACCTTCGTATCCTTCCAGACCCGGTGGACATGATTGCGATGCATAGAAGTGCACCGAAATATCATCCACCGCGTGGACATTTCCACCTTTCAAAACCGAGTCATTTTTGCGCACCGCTATTTCTTGTCCGAGGTGCTGAACTGCGGACCCACAATATCCTGAAGAAAAACGTCCCCACACCAGCGTCAAGATGGAAAATCTGCTAGACAAATCAGCCAGCTTTGGTTGTTTCGCATGACAGGTCTATCCTCGTAGTGTAGTCGTGTTTAGGTAGTTTACCAGCGTCACAGATCTAGCATATCGTGCTGGTTATAGCATCATAAATTCCAAAACACGACTAGGGAATGCGAGTGCCTCTCATGGCGCTCCGCATGAGAAACTTTTTTGGCGTGCAGATTTGCATCACAACTCCGGGGTGGCGGTGGGGACGTTTTATCTCAGAATACACAAATCTAGAGGCCTTCGACGAGCCGGACACTAAACTGAAGCTCCCCAATATCGCAAGAAATGCGTGTTACAGTTACACATTGTGTTGCAGGCAGAGCGAGACAGACAAGCTCTGTCATGCCGGGTATGCATAGGAGCGTTGTTTCATACGCGTTTTCATTCCCGTAGGAGTCACAACAAATGTGTAACTGTAACACTTTTTTCGTGTGATACCCAATAAGTCGCCACAGTTGGTGGTGGAAAACTTTACGAATGATTTAGGCATTGCAGGAGCAACAGTATCTTCTGATATTAGTAGCAATTGCTAGAAGTGCTCGTGGTCCTCACAAAAATACGAGAAATAGAACTTGCATGCAATCATGTTGTTGACGTTTGGAAAATGGTCATGTAGGAATATAATTGCAGTTGCTACTATGAATTAAGTAGGTGCATGAAAAATACTTTTGCAGAGGATATGGTCAGTTGCAAGACTATTTCGGCTATGGATTGTAAAAATGTCTGGGTCTGGAAGATTGTCAGATTTGTCATGCAGCTTTTCCATGACCCACGAGGTCTGGAATGCAGGGCCTAGCATGACAGATTCTATGCGATCTCTCTCATGCCTACCCTGCATGAGAAACTCCCTCCCGACTTGGTCAAAACTGGGCCACTTTTGGTAATCATGCAACACTGATTTTTGCATGCTTCAGATTTAGCATGACAAGTTGCATTCTTCCAGACCCACACACTTTCACATTTGATATCGGCGAGGCCTGGGAGCTGATCATGGTGATGAACCAATTGTCTGAAGCGGACGAGTATGCACTGCAAAAATGTCGGGGTCTGGAAGGATGGAACTTGTAATGCTTATTCTGGATCGTGCAAAAATCTGTGTTGCATGAATGCCAAAAGTTGTCCACTTTTGACCAAGTTGAGAGGAAGTCTCTCATGCAGGATAGGCATGATAGGGATCTCACAGGATCTGTCATGCTAGGTCCTGCATTCCAGACGATGCAGCTCATGGAAAATATGCATGACAAGTCTCACAATCTTCCAGACCCAGACATTTTCGCATTTGATAACGAGGACTTCAAAAAGGCCGCAAGACCAAACTTCGCGCTGGCCGAGAAGCAGTTTGGCCCACTGGACTTCGCCAACGACAGCGAGCGGCAAACCGCGGAAAACGCCCGGACGTACGTATCGCGAGGGAAAATCCTCCCTTCCCATATCAAGATGGAAATCTGTGATGCAGATTTTTGGTCACAATGCTATAAGGGCAATAAAGTTGCGGACTGTAGTGCTGGGTGGTGTGGGAAAGCCTTGCATATTCAGCATGACAGGTGGCAGCTGGAATTGGGACACAGCATGACAAATTAACTGCAAGCGAAGCCACAGCTGCGGCTGTTGGCCTTCTAGCAATACAAGTCGATTTGTGTTGTACTCAAATACAGCACGATAAATTCGTTTTCGATGTTGGGAGCAGGGCGGATTTTTCTTCTTGATAGTGCGCGAAGAAGTTTGTGTTGGCGCACGAGTTTTTCTCGCGGTGGATTAAATCGATTGAAATCATGGTGGACGGAAACATTTTTGACGTGTGGTTCTATGCATTTTTGCAAAAGTGCAATATAGTATCCGATACTCGGTGTATAAAATAAAGTTGCGGTCGTGCATGTAGTGATAAGTCGAACTTCATCGTCCCACCTGAAGATCTAGAAGCATTGCATTTTTTTCTTGAAATTTTTTTGCACGCTATTCCTTTTTATTATAGTTCTCCGATACTTTAACTTTTGCAATGCATATACTCCGCATGCCAGTGATTTGCGATTTTGTGTTGGGCAGTGCGAAAAGGGACATTGTGAACAAAATCAACTTCTCGTCGCCAGAAGAAAAAGCGGCCGAGTTCGTGGAAATGAGCGAAGCGATCTTCGCACAGGTACTTATTCCACAAATACTCCATACTTTCTAGAAGCACTACTACTTAAACGACGAGGCAACACTATTTCATTTATCTTGCCACCAGCACGAAAATCTGACCAATGGTGTTTATTCATGCGCTAGTACAACGAACTCCTACTTCAACTACGTAGAAGCAAAAATGCTCGCACGTGATGAATTATTTTTTTAAAATAGCGCTGCAAAAGAAGAAGAACAACGTAAGTACTATCTCTCATCTACCTCTACACAGACGGAGCACACTCGTGCGCTTTCGAAGTGGGAGTGGCCGATGGCGTTGTTGGTTCCAGGGCCGGCGAAGCGGCCGTTCAACTTTTTTCTGAAGAACGATTCGCAGAACTTGATGCGAATATCGGAGTACACGCTCTACATCGCAGTAGTGTTAAATTTGATCCTGGGAAACAACATGTACCTTGCTGACGTGAACGATGTGCAGGGAGATTTGCACCACCCCATCTACCCCATCCTCCACGCCGACGCCTATTGGTCCGTGATGGCAATCGCTTGGTTCTACCAGGTGCTCTATCACATGCAAATATGTTGTCTGGCTCTGGGAGGTGGTCCTCTGGGCAAAGCGGCTTACTTTTGATGTAGCGCATGAACGCACTCTTACAAGTTTTAGTTTATTTTTCGGTCACCTCGTCATGGAGAATTCATTCGCATGCAGCAAGCAAAGAAGTTGTTTGTTACCTCGTGGTCCCAGCACGACAAAAAAACTGGTCATTCCTATTCATGCAACAGGATTACTAAAGAAGATTTTGGGGTTAAAATTTAGTACATTGATTCCGCAAGATCACACATGACATCTATCAGCATCCAGACCCACCAGACATGTTTGCAATGTATATTCGAATGCTGATTACCAGCTTTATTTCCATCTGCCTCTACTCCCCTCTGGACCTGCGCAAATTTGAGGAAGAAACGAAAGTCGGCAAAAACGCGAGCTTTTTTGAGTACGTGAAGTCGACCAGGCCACTCGATTATCCACTGCAATAGAACAAATATGGTCTTCATCAAGTTGTCTGGAAAATGACAACTGAGCTTGTCTTTGTCATGGTAAATGTGAACCGTGCATCGAAGTAAATCTGTGTTGCGTCAGCGGCAAATGCTACCCAATTTTCCTCGCCAAGCAAAGGGCGAACTTTCATCAATATGGAAAAATGGGTGTTTTCAAGCTCCGTTACGCAATCTTTTGTGACGCAGTTGTAGCTGCTTCCTCTGGTGTTTTTTTACAACCTTTCTATCTTCGTCAACTTCACGAGAAGATTCGATTGATAAATGACTAATTCCAGAACAGCACCATCCAAGTTTCAATGCATATCGAAACCCTGTTGGCGGTGCTCACTCTGATCGCCGCGGTATACTGCTTTTCCATTCTCTACAAGATGCACTGGCTATCCTACAGAAAAAAGCGGTCAGGGCATATTTGCGACGAAAAAATAAGTTAAGACAGAGAAATCAAATCACTCTGTTTAAATTCATCTGTGCTGGGCGCTCCGCGTGCTGTTTAAATTACAGCATACAAAGGACATGTTGCAAGAGGGATTGGTTCTTTTGCGTCTTTATTTTTGCATTACATACAAGTACCTGCTTTTTTTTCCGTGTGACACTGGCTGGCCTCCGTGATTGCGGTTTTCTTTCTGTGCGGGTTCTGGGACGACATTTGGCAGAAGCCGGAGGGGCACCGCCGAAACCACCGGTGTCCAAACAACTACTGGGCGCATCTGATTCGGACGGTCGCCTATGCACCGCACATATGTCTGGGTCTGGAAAGGACAAGAAGTGAACTTCTCATGCGCATTCCACAACACACACAAATCTCTCATGCATAGGCAGCAAAAGTTAAAGTTGCCCACTTTCTGTCAGGAAATTGGGGGATTGTCATGCGGATTAGGAATTGTAGAATCTTCTCGATACCTGTGAAGATGCTAGGGCCTCCATGCCCGACCTTCTGTGTCATCCAAAAACAGCATGACAAAAATCTGCACCCTTCCAGACCGAGACATATTTGCATTTGATATCGCCATCGCCGGGGAAATATGCATTGCAAAAGTATCGTACTAGTATAGATTGCATCACAAATTTTTTCAAGAAGAGAAATGGAATTTGTAATGCTGATTTAGCTAAAAAGGGATATTTGTCATGCATGATCGCAATTACTACGAGTACGATACTTTTGCACAGGATAGGAAAGAAGACCAATCTGGCGCCGCGTCGGACTGTCCATCATTTGTTGGCTGGGCATCTTTATGAATTGCAACAAAAGTACCGTAGTTTAAGTATCTTAATTGCAGCGCTGCCTGGAATTGGAAACTCAAATTTTTCATCAGGCAGCTTACAACTACGTAGTAATCTATTCTATTGAAATCAAAGTACTTACTCTTAGTGCGGTACTTGTGTAAAAATGCATAATCTTTGATGCGTGGTATTTCTTTTCCTTTCTGCTCCTGGACACGATGTTTCAGTACCCCATGCTGGAAAACGGTATCGAAGCGGAAAAAAAGCTCACCGCACACGACCCCGAGGACCTCGACTGGTGGCCTTGCATGACAAGAAAACAGGTTACTACTTCTTGCCACGTTCAGCATTACAAGTTCCAATGCATACAAACCTGGCTTCTATCGAAGTGGATGAACAAGTTTGTGATGCGCGACTCTGCTTATTGATGTCGTTCTCGTTTGTAGATCCACAACATTCCACCAGGTTTGTACAACTACTCCAACGCCAACGTCGTGCGCGGAAAAGAAATTCGAATTGCATAACCTTGTTGAAAGCGGTGATGATACCGATAAAATCGCTGGGGCTGACCTTTCTACTTGGAATGATCATCATGTACACTTACGCGTTTGTGGGATTTTACTACTTCCGCCCGGATTTCTATCGCACGAAATACTTGCGGTCCCAGTCTCAACTTGTTGTAACAAGAACAACTTCGATAATTGTCGATTTTTTTTGTCCTCGAAGACGCATTAAATTTGTCTCCATTGAACTTCCCTTCACTGCTAAAATGGGCGGTGTTGCGTCGTTCAAGATGCCTGGCTCTCAATGCAATCCAGTGCAGACAATTTACCTTCAGGAAACTTAGACAGTTCGTTAGCAGTTCCTGGCTCGCCTTGGCAGCTATTACAGTGCCGAAGAAGCTTGCTCCACATTGTCTTCCTGATGCGCCATGTCGAGCATGGCAGAATCTGTTATGCTGGACATGGCGGAAGAAAGCCAAGCATAGGTGGCTTTCGTGCGTTTTTTCTTTTGCTTTTGATGCATCAGAGTTTTTACTTTATATGAATGTGAATCGGTATGTAGCTGAAATTCCAATCTTCAAAAGGCCATCTACTGAGACTGAGACATTTTTTTTTTCTTGCGATATCCCTGAGGGCGCCTGCACAAATATCGCGGATTGCACGGTGACGACGATTTATCAGGTAATATAGCATCTTCATCTTGTCTAGAAATGTTTTTCTAGTTGCTCTCCAAAAACCGGTTACAAATATGAAAATTCGGAAACAAACTGCAGAAAGATGATGCTACATATGGGTGGATCGAATGTTGTCTTCACCGCACCATCAAGAGGAAGAGGTACAACAAGGAGGCAGCGTGATCATGATCGATTCTGTGTTGTAGTAATAAATCGAACGCCTTCAACTTCAACATAACATCTTCGACCAGGGCATGCGTTCCGACATCGGCTCCGCCCTGCACGGGGTTTCGCCTTCGGTTCCGAATTGGTACGAACGAGTGGGCTACGACCTGTCCTACTTCATCATCATCACCACCGTGCTGATGAACGTGATTTTCGGTATCATTTTGGACACCTTCGGGTCCCTCCGGGACGAAACCCAACAGCGGGAGGAGTACATGAAAAATGTCTCCTTCATCTCCTGCCTGGACCGGTCGGAAATCGAGAAGGCAGCGAGCGTGTTGGAGAATCCAGAGATCCGATATCCAGAAAAAAACACCCATCCGCATCCATTTTTTGCATGCCAAACACTGGACCTTATGCATGTTCTGCATGACAAACTGGAACTGGATGGGGATGGGTGTTTTTTCCTGGATATCCGATCCGGGTTCAAGTACGTGGAGGAGCAAAAGCAAAACAAGTGGAACTATGCACGGCAATAAACATGTGGGCTGGGCCAGCATCTGGAAACAAGTTCGATACTTGTACAGCTATCTTCACCCTCTTTTGTTACACAAGAACACACTTTATTCACATTCGCATGCGGACTGCGTGTAATGCGAGAGCGTTCTGGTGGAATAAACATAACGTTGTCATGTTTATTATTTGGCTGCATTTGATGGAAGTGTTTGCATCGATCATCCGCATCATGATTTTGGCATCGCAACTTCCTACACCCTGACCCAGATCTTCGATATTTGCATTTGATAGGAACTACCTGAACTACATGTTCTATCTTTTCCGGAAAGAAAAGGAGAACTACTCCGGTCCCGAGTATCCTTTGTAAATAAGTATCGCACTAGTATCGACTAAATTTCTGTTGCAGATAGATATGCGTGCCAAAGTTTTTTCTTAAGGTAAAGGTATTAAACCAAGAGCATGACAAGAAAGAACTCAAAGGTTTTTCATGCAGACCAAGAATCTTGTATGTGAATGCGATTTAGACGACACGACTACTAGCGCGATAGTAGTTTTGCAAGGTCGATATCGAGTCCTACGTGGCAAACCTGATGAAGGAGGGCGACAGCTCCTGGCTTCCCATAGGAAAATGCCGGCTTGTCGACGCCGCAACGGCAAAAATCGAGGAGGCGCACCAGCATAAGAAGTGAAGTAGTAGCCTCGTGCTCGTACGAGGAATAAAAATAGAAGGGGCAGGCCGGGAAACTTCAAAAATGATCTTCGTCCTCCGTTGAAAATTGCTTTCCTCGAGCTCGACTTACACTTTGCCATGCAGGAAGATAGCTGCGAAATACTAGAACGAAGTACTACACAGGAACTTAAGTATCAAAACTGTTATTTCCAGGAATGATCTTACTAAGCAAAATAACGTAAAAGAATCTGCGTCTAGAAGTTTCTAAAAAGATTGCCCTTGACGAAAGGCTGTGAAATAAATCTGCTGAATACTTTTGCATGCTTTCTCCAGTACAGACAACTTGATAGTAATAGAAACACAAGAGTCAGCATCTCGCTTGTGGGTCCGAATAGAGGTAAGTAGAAGTACACCTGTCGAGCTTTCGCTGCAATAGCGTTGAGTGACGAGGCTGTAATAATTTGTTTTCGCGGTGAATGATGTATACGAATCTTTTGGATGAACATGGGCCGGATAGAAGTAGGCTGTTCAATATTCAGTTTCTTTTGTAATCACACACCTGCAGTTGATGCCGTAAATCCTATTAACAAAAAGAAGCTGAGCAATTTCTTTTTCTGAATTCCAAAGGTGGTGACTGAAGAACTTGTAACCTTTTGGTACTATGAAAGCCGGCATGCCACATGGATAAGTATGTGCCCCCGTGTGTTTGGCAAGCTGCTCAACACCTTCTAAAGGGCACGTCGGGAAATGCAAGCTACAATTGCATTTGTAAAGAGGATGAAAATTAGAATTACAACATGATTTTTTCAAAGGCAGCCCACAGCTACTTACAACCTTCTCACCCGTCGTCTTTGAAGACAAAGTTTGGTGTGTAATCTTGAAAAAATGAAAAATCGTATCGTCGCTGAAAATCATATCGATAGCGCAGGAAAAATCTTTGCGGCGCACGTAGATGACCACCTGGAGAAAATACTAATACGTTTCGGTTCTAGATTTGAAAGAATAAGCTACCCCCATGTCGGGGACGCTTTTTCTTTGGAGCCTAGAAATAAGTAAGTCGCTTGGTCGGTTTTCGTCCCCTATGTTGTAGTTGTGCTTGCAACCGGAACCGCGTTATTTTCTATCCTATTCGATTACTACACACAACTTCTGTCGAAAACAAAGGTCGGTGTTGTCGTACTTCATCGATGCCTTCTCATGTTTCGGTGTGGTGCTCGTGCTGTTGAGAACTGAAAATAATATCGGTCAGAGAACCTCCAAATCGTGTTCTGCAAACCATCCCCGCAGCGAAATTTGGAAATCGGTTTTATTTCCGGAGAGCTTCGGTCGTCGGTCCACCTCTACGTGGACTTGGACTTGTACAACTTTCGAGTATAGTATTGTTCCTCCACCAGGGTGGCTACTAACTCTGCGGCGTGCGTGTCAGTGTTTCTTGCTGTCGCCTTGTCCAGAAGCAGACTCTTGCTTTTTGTATAGTTCGCATGGCATTATACCAGGACCCCAAGAACGCCAATGACCATCGTTCTGACGTATTTGTTCTTCTATTAAGCTTTGGGTCTTTCAATTCGAGAAGTACTATCAAGTACAAATGCAGTTTTCGTAGCACTAGCACTTTTTAAAGGGTTGTTCCTTGTGCTGTTCTTTCCACACATAATTTGAAATCAAACCCTTGTCAAGTCTCTGTACTTCCACCAAGTAAAAATCGATCCTAGTAGACCACCTCCACCATCATGGGTTGCGGAGCGAGTAAGAAGCCCGTGGCTCCGGAGCCCTCGGAGATCTCGACCGCACCGACGCTTGAGGACCTCCCACCGCCGCCGCCACCCCCGCCGCCGCCCCCTCCCAAGGAGAAGGATGTGCACGAAGACGAGAAATTTGTCAAGGGGGCCACGATATGCATTGCAAATATCAATCTGGGTCTGGAAGATTGCCGGGTTTGTCATGCCTATTTTGCATAACCCATGACGTCTGGAGTAATGCATGCCCTTGCGGCACAGATTTTTTTTAGAGGGCTTCGTGATACCTCTAGGGCATGAGAAATAATGCCATCCCCGCGTAAAGCACCATCTGGACTCTTCTTGGTGGTTAGCAACAGCACAATTTTTTTTAGGATCCAAAGACA